CAGAGACGGTACAAAGTTTCACATCCATGAGCACAACAGACTTTATTACCTTGAGACTGTAAGTGAGTATGATGATAAGTGTAATAATTGTTTTGATGTGCAGACATGGCATGAAATTTTGGGACATTGCAATCATAGTGACATTCTGAAGTTACAAAATGTGGTTGAAGGTATGAAAATCAAAGGGAAAACTGACAAAGAAAGTTTGAACTGTGAGGTGTGTATTCAGGGAAAATTTGTCCAGACTAGGAATAGAAACCCTGACAGAAGAGCTGAGAAACCTCTCGAGCTGGTACATACGGATCTAGCAGGGCCGATAGATCCAGAATCACGAGATGGACACAGATATGCATTATTGTTTACCGATGACTTTTCCGGTGCAGTATTTGTATATTTTCTCAAAAACAAAAGTGAAACAATGCAAGCAACTGAAATCTTTTTGGCCGATACAGCCCCACTCGGGAAGGTAAAGTGTATCAGGTCAGACAACGGCACAGAGTTCATGGCAAAGAGTTACCAGGTATTGTTAAACAAACATGGAATAAGACATGAAACTTCAGCCCCATATTCCCCTCACCAGAATGGTACAGCAGAACGTGGCTGGAGAACACTTTTTGATATGGGGAGGTGCATGCTTATTGAGAGTGCCATACCAAAGGAATTATGGACGTATGCAGTTCAAACAGCGGCTATCGTGAGAAACAGGTGCTTTAACAACCGGACAGGGCAGACACCTTACTTTTTGCTGACTGGGCGGAAGCCCAATCTATCCAGAATGCGAAAGTTTGGGTGTGAGTGTTATGCTTACAAGCAAGACAAGGGTAAGCTGGATTCTAGGTGTACAAAAGGGATTTTTGTAGGCTACGACAAAAACAGTCCAGCATACAAGGTTTATTTCCCAGACAGCGCTAAAGTGCAAAAGTTTAGGCTGGTTAAGTTTGTAACCAAACACAATGAGGAAAAGCAAACACAAACTGATACGACATCTGAGGATGAGGACATACAGGTGAGGGAGAGACCAAACATGAACAGGGAAAGCCCCAGTACCAGTTCACAGGAACCAGATACTGACAACCAACCAGAAGTGAACAGTCAGATGCCACTTAGTGATGAGACTGAAAACTCCAGAAGGTATCCTTCTAGAACAAGAAAGAAACCAGATTATCTAAATGAGTATGAGTCAGGAGAAGACATTGATGATCAAGTGCTGACTAACATAGACTACTGTTACAGACTGATAAGTAACTCACCCGTGACATTCAGTGAAGCTGCAAGGTCACCCAACTCTAGAGAGTGGAAAGCAGCTATGGATGAGGAAATGCAATCCTTAAAAGAGAACAACACCTTTACCCTAACAATCTTACCCGAGGGAAAGAAAGCAGTGGGGGGTAGATGGGTATATGTGAAGAAAAACAGTGGTGATGGATCAGAAAAATATAAAGCACGGTACGTAGCTAAAGGTTACAACCAGTGTTTTGGGATAGACTATGATGAAACTTTTTCTCCGACTGCTAACCTGACAAGCATAAGAGTATTGATGCAGTGTGCAATACAAGAAAACCTGATTTTGCATCAGATGGATGTAAAAACCGCATACTTGCATGCACCAATAGATTTTGAAGTGTATGTTGAGCAGCCAGAAGGCTATGAAGTAAAAGGAAAAACAGATGAGAAACTGGTCTACAAGCTGGAAAAGTCACTTTATGGGCTTAAACAGTCAGGCCGAAACTGGAACAGGACATTACATGACTATTTGATAGAGAACGGTTTCATGCAGAGTCCTGTAGATCATTGTGTTTACACAAGAAAAACAGGAAAAGAAAAAGTGATCATGATCATATGGGTTGATGATATTATTATTGCAGCCAGTGATGAAAGGGTTTTGAAAACTGTGAAGGAAATGCTAACTGCAAGATTCAAAATGAAAGATATGGGGAAACTCAAACATTTTCTTGGTATTGATTTTGAGCAAACCAAAGATTGTGTAAAAATGTCACAAGAGAGATATGTAGAAAACATACTGGAAAGATTTCAAATGCAAGACTGTAAACCAAGATCAACTCCTTGTGAACAAAGGTTGAACTACAATGATGATGCTGAGAAAATGAACAATGTCAGAATGTACATTGTTCATGTACATTCTGACATTGAGGTCAAGTAAATAGGTAGCCTTATTTACTTGACCTCTTGCACACGACCAGATTTGAGTTTTGTTGTAAGTAAGCTGTCACAGCACTTCAAAGAACCAGCTGTGGAACATTGGACTACTGTGAAACATGTTCTAAGGTATTTGAAACAATCAAAGGACAAGACATTGTGCTACAGGAAAAGTGACAAAGATTTGAGAGTACAAGGTCACAGTGACTCAGACTGGGCTGCTGATGGGACTGACAGGAGGAGTACTACAGGTTACTGCGTAAGCCTGAATGAAGGAGGTACTTTGGTGTCATGGCGAACAAAGAAGCAGCCAACTGTTGCCTTGTCAACTTGTGAAGCAGAGTACATATTTTTGGCAGCAACAACACAAGAATGTTTGTACTTGACACAACTGTTGCAAAGCATGTATGAGCATCAAAAGAGACCGCCAAAGATTTTTGAGGACAATCAAGGGACTATTGCATTGGCAAAGAATCCTGTTAACAGACAGAGGTGTAAGCATATCGATATCAAATATCATTTTGTGAGATCAACAGTTAATGCTGGAAATTTGATATTGGAGTATTGTCCGACAGGTCTGATGGTGGCCGATGTTATGACAAAGCCAGCAACAAAGGGGAAGTTATTGAAGTTTGAGAAATATATGTTTGGAGTGTAAACAAATAGTAAAGAAAAACTGTTTCTTTTGGAATGCATGTAAAGCTGACAACGTGAGTGCAAGTGGGGGTGTTGAGCTAGTTAATAGGTATGCCCTCGTTGTCATCTGTTGTGATTTTATTTTGAAAGGATGCTTCCTGTTATGCTGCAGAGTGCACGCGAGAGTTCAATAATAAAAAGTTGTTGTTCCGGTGAAAAGCCGATGCCCCACGTGTGATTATTCCTCCGTCTAGACAATATAAGTATCTTCAATATTCATGCAGATTCTGCTGGAAGACCCGTCTCTGCTAACAGTCTGCTTCAGCTTCATCTTTTAGCTGCACTCTGGATGACTTTAATAAAAAATATTTCTGACTTTAAAAACATCTTGCTTTATTTTTATCATCAAACACGTTTCGCCCTACAGGACTCGAAGAAAAAACGAACAGAAGCCGTTTGATGTGAGTCACGAGCAGGAGGGTGAAGGTTTGTGTGAGCAGGCTTTTCCTGTGGGATGGTGGAGATGTTGGTGGCGCTGGGGTCTTTTTTGTTTTTTTTGAGGTGGGGCGGTGTTGAACATCAGGAACCATCTGGCTGCTTCTTCACTCGGAAGTAAAATCCACGCAGGAGCGAAGCTGCCACGTCCATCCTGCAGGAAACGGGAAAACAAGGCGGCCGGCATCTGCCAAGTCTCTGTGTTATTTCTGCCTCGGCGGCCTTTACAGCACCAGCTCAGCCTCCGCCAGCAACCTCCACCCCCACCAACACAGCTGATCTGGGGACGGCGCAGGGGAGGGGGTGAGGGACAGTGGGTGGGAGCCCAGTCAAGGATGCAAATTCACAATCAGTGGAATGAAAACACTAAGGATGGGGGGGGAGGGGGGTCACAGGTCACATGCACCTACCACCCCCTCCCCAAATGCTCTGGATTACACAGCAGCTGCAGACAGATGTTAAACCGGACGTCTGCTGACAGTTCAGGACTTAAACGAATATCCGAACACCCAAACAACACAAAAAATTCTAAACAGCTCAAAAGGTGACGCGATCGGAGCCGGAGAGATTTCTGAATTTCAACTTTTAGGGTCCAACGCTCAGACTGCAGAGGAACAACAGAGGTACAGGTGTGAGGTGGAAACACCTGGACTGAGCATCACACATAAACTTTTATTTTTAGAGTTTTTACGCCGTATTAAGAATTTACTGCACTTGTTTCTGTAGCAGTTTGTGACAGTTAAACGGATTTTTGCTGCTCTGTTGTCACAGTGTGCAGGTAATTCCCCCTCCCTGTGCAGCAGTGCCGCCTGCTGTGCGGAGGCAGAAGTTTCTTTCCATAAAGCTCAAATTAATCCAAATTATCGTAGGTCCATGTGACGAGAGGAACTAAACCCAAAACATTTCACCTCCTTCACAGCTTCTCTTTACTTCCTCCCTGAAAACCTTTAAAGAGTTTTAAATCTCCTCACATACAAGGTCTTAAATAATCAGGTCTTATCTTAATGACTTTATAGCACCATATTACCCCATTAGAGCACTGACGCCTTACTTCTTGTATTTAAGTATTTAAAAGTAGAATGAGAGGCAGGGCTTTCAGTTTTCAAGCCCCTCTTCTATGGAACCAGCTTCCAGTTTGGATTCGGGAGACAGACACTATCTCTACTTTTAAGATCAGGCTTCAAACTTTCCTTTTTGCTAAAGCATATAGTTAGGGTTGGATCAGGTGAAGCCGAATCCTCCCATAGTTATGCTGCAACAGGTGTAGGGTGCTGGGGGATTCCCATGATGCACTGAGTGTTCCTGTGTGTTAACACACCTCTGCTGCATGTAATTAACTTTTGTCTTCTACTTGCTGACATCCGTGTTTGGTCTCAGATGAAGGAAGGCAGTCTTAGATATTTCTGTGTGACACTATGTTTCTGAGGTTTTTAGGGACAAGAACATTAACTTCATAACAACGAGAATAAATGTGTGTGAAAAACTGAAAACGATGTTCAGCAAATGACACAAAACCATCAAGAAGAAAAACATTTTGCAGCAGCTGCATTTTTAATTCCTGCAGCAAAGTCACAGGAAATGTAAAACATGTTCAGCCTCCTTTCACCTGATTTTAATTTCAGACCCACAGGAAGCCAGATCCACATCAGGGTGAGCAAACACCACTCTGTCTGTGTGTGTGTGTGTGTGTGTGTGTGTGTGTGTGTGTGTACTTGAGCAGTCGTGGTTTCTCGTCGTTGACCAGCAGCACGGTGACCTGAACTGTTCCCTCGACTGCATGGACACCATCTGTCAGCCGCAGAACCACGGCGTCCTTCAGGGTTTCTGTGTCATCGTGCATGTAGACGATCCTCATGCCTGCAGGAGGAAAACAAAAAATATGGAGCAGTGTGTTTCTGTGAGCATGTATTCATATCTTTGTGGGGTTAAAAAATTGGATATTCCCACTGTCGCCAAAGTGTCTGCTCATAGGGGGTTCTCTGTATCTATTATTGTACGATCTACTGTACAATATAAAGCGCCTTAAGGCAACTGTTGTTGTGTTTTGGTGCAATATAAATAAGAATTTAATTGATGTTAACTATACTTATGGGGACTAACATCCTGGTCCCAACAAGTTTGAAGGCATTTTTTAGACTGAAAATGTGGGGTTTTTTTGTTTTTTTTAATTGACATTTAGGAATCAATGTACAATACCACCAACTTCAGCAATTTGTTACTACATGTATTTCAAAATGTGATTTTAGTGACAGGGTTACAGTTGGGTTATGATTAGGTTTAGGGTTAGGCATTCATTTTGATGGTTAGGGTAAGGGCTAGGCCAGTAGCTCCCCAACTTTTTTTGGTCTAAAAATGGGTCTAAAAACATAAACAACTGTGGGATACTGTTTGTCTGTGATTTGGGGCCAAGGTATTCCTGCATGCACTCTCCGTGTATGCATGGGTTCTCTCTGGGTACTCCAACTTCATCCCACAGTCCAAACACATGCAGTTAGTGGGGATAGGTAAACTCTAAAGTGCCCATAAGTGTGAATAGTTGTCTGTCTCTATGTGTTAGTGACCTGTCCATTGCATACCCAGTCTCTCGCTCTAAGACAGCTGGGATTGACTCCAGCCCCTTCGCGACCCTGATTTAGATAAGCAGGAGCAAATGGATGGACCAAAAGCATTTTATTTTTTAGATGGTTGGGAACACGGCCCTGCTGCTTACCCTCTCCGAATATGAAATAAAAAGCGATTATTGCTCTTGTTCAAAGTGATCCTGGTTCAAAGTGTTTGAATGATGATCATCTGTATAAAACACCAATAATCTAGAATGTATTCACATTTTACTTTCACACTTCCTGTTTGAGTGACTGCCTCACCTTGTCGGAGCTCCTGAAGAGTGAAAGAGGTGACAGAGAGGCTCCTGTGCAGGAGGTCAGCTCCCGCCTCCGTGCCGTGGATGCTGTTAATCAGGCTGCCGTGAGCCGGCGGCTGCACCACGGTGAAGGTGAGCAGCTCAGGTGGGGCGTCCAAGTCAAAACCATCCAGTATGGATGGAATTAGCTCCCTCATCCCGCCCTCTTTTACCTGCAGAGAACAGGAGGAGTGCGCCCCCGTGAGGCTGTTGGGATCATCGCAGATTCAGTTTCAGTCGGAGAAATCGTTTTACTTTGACTCTCGTGTGAATTTTGTTTAGTCTTTATTGTTATTTTCTCTTGTTTGATGTCACAATTACAGCTTTGTCACCTCAATCGGGGGGAGGTGACAATGTTTTTAATAACCAGTCAGCTGTCTTCAAGTCATAGCTGATTGATGACCGATTACTGATCAGGTCTCAGGTGTACATACGGTGAAGTTGGCGAGCAGCAGCGATGGTGTTTCGTCATTGGTTGGTTTGATAATGATGTAGAAGGAGACGGGGGCGGAGCGATGCAGCCCGTCGCTCACACTGATGGACAGCTGGTCGACAGTTGGCTCCACCCCTTTGTGCTCCGATTGCACGTAGTTGATGAAGCCAGAGGTCAGGTGTGTGAGAGTGAAGGATTCTGGGAAAAGACAAACATTAGAGTGAGATCTGAGTCGGCTCCCCGAGGTTCTGCCCGTGCACCGCACACTGACCGACTCGCACTCCCGCGTTGCTCTTCTCGGAGCCGGGCATCGGCTGCGTGTTCTCCAGGAAGCCGTGAAGGGGAGGAGTCTCCAGGTGAAAGACAAGCTGCTCAGGGGGACTGTCTGGGTCTGACGCTCCGAGGACCCCCCCGCACAGACAGATAGAAGAGCCTTCATCCACCACCAGCATGGACTCGCCTGCGCCAGGACACAGCAACACCTTCATTCTTCATTTATCAACTATGCTGCTCGCCACACTCACTGAGCGCCTGATGGTGGATTTCAACTCCACTGCTTCCACACATGCACGCCACGCAGTAAGCACAGCGTCCACCGAGATGTCCACTCGAAGCACACGGGAGCGCTGGCTTATTTTCTGCCATGATGTTGAAGCCCACCTGAGCCACTAGCACAACTCTGGGCTGGACATGTTGTACACAATAGGTACAGGTGTAGATGTTGAGCTGCCAGCTCCTCATGTGTTAGCGGACGATTCATGCAGGCGAATCTGTCCATTCTTTCACTCCCACCTCATCACACTTTACCCCAAACTGAGATCTCTCACAGCTGGAAACTAAACCTGTTTAGTTTCTAACTAAAGTTCAGGCATCGTTTAATAATCCTGTTTTTTTTATTGAGTGAAACTCAAACAGGACCAGGAGCAGAATTCCCTCCACCTGCAGCCTCCACCCCCCGTTTCCTGCAGACAGGAGCGGGTCTAAGCCTGCTGTGTTCAGTTGGAGTATGAACACTGTGGGCGGATGTGAGTGGATGGGTGTGAGCATTAATGAGGGACAGTCCTGGATCTGGCTGATAAACCAGCGTCGTCCTAAAACAGGAACACGTGGATGTGAGGCTCGCTCCACTAAGGCTCTTATTCTGTGTCTTTATTCACTGCTAATTAATTAGACCAAGAACCCCCCACCCAAACACCAGCACCACCACACGCGCATGCACACACACACACGCACCACCCCACCCTCGGCCCTGAACTGTGCGCTGGTGCCGAATGAGCAGGGAGACCCGCCGGCAGGATTACGAGTCGTCCCGCCGTCGGCAGCGCTAAGCTGATCTGGCTGCTGAGCTGCGGCTAACACGTCTCCTATTGTGAGCACGAAATGGAGGTTCTGTCTTTTGTTTAGTTAAGACGCTCATTGTCCGCTGTCCACACACACACACGGTGAGATAATCTCTCAGCCGTGTGTGTGTCTTCATGTAATACCACCAGACAATTAGCAGATTTCATTTAAAACACATCAGTGCCAACCTCGTTAGCCGGCTGACAACACACACACACACACACACACACACACACACACACACACACACACACACACACCAAGTATCAGGCCAGCTTAAACAAAGACCTCAGCAAGTGTAAACTCAGGGCTCTGTCTCCAGAATAAACTCTATGCTGAGTTTAACTTTAAATCTTTAAAGTTAGAGATCATTCTGATTTCGGTTTCCTGAAGCTCGACAGGCTCAGAGCACCAACCTACAGTTACATTAAAACTCGGCCAACCCCCAAACTGCTCCATCTTCTCATCTGCTGCCTCGATGGTTAAACCCTGGTTCATGAAACTGTAATCCTGGGGTTCCCAACACAAGGTCCGAGGGCCAGAATCATCCCGGCAAAGACTGAAATGCGGCCCACGGGATCTCATTAAAAAATGGGAAGGAGGGCATAAACTTTTTAATGTATTTTCATAAGTTTCACAAGTTTTTCCTTTTGGGTAGGGTTGGGGTAGTCATGGGTTAGGTTAAGACCTTGCCCATGACTACTCACACTACACCAGGGGTGGGCAACTCCAGGCCTGAAGGGCCGGTGTCCTGCAGGTTTTAGATCTCACCCTGAGTCAACACATCTGAATCACATGATTAGTTTGCTACCAAGCCTCTGGAGAACTTCAAGACATGTTGAGGACATAATTTAGCCATTTGAATCAGCTGTGTTGGTTCAAGGACACATCTAAAAGCTGCAGGACACCGGCCCTCAACGCCTGGAGTTGCCCACCCCTGCACTACATCGAGGTAATGAAGTAATAAATAGACAGTTACATGAAAGAAAAGTCCCCGTTTTTAACCACCTACTGTAGAATTTTCTGGTTTTATAGTGAGTAGTTAATGCATTGTTAAACTTCATTAGACTGACTGGAAGGAGAGTTTCTTGGGTCTGACCCACAGTGTTTGACATCCCTGCTGTAATCAAGCCAGCAGCAGGCTGACAATGCAGCTCACAGCAAAGTGTTATTTGTGAGCTCAGAGGACGGCTCATTTTTACTAGAATGGTTCTGATTTATTGCCCTGAAATAAAGCATCGTGTTCACATTTCACTCCTGATTAGCATCATTTCTGGGGAATTATGAGCCGTTTGTAAAGGAACCCAAAAATCTTCAGCCACCGACTAACAACACAGACCTGCTGTTTCTCATCTCCCATCATCTCCACCTGTGACAGGTGAGTCACTGAGTGCAGCTACCTCACAGTTTAAACGTCTGTGACCGAAAATCAACCCAAAGAACATCTTCAGGATTAAAACAGAGAAAATGGAGACAATGCACAGATGATGTCTCTACTGTGGAGGAGATTATCCCCACACACACACACACACACACACACACTCGCTCTCTCTCCTGGGATAGATGATCATTCTCACTGCTCACAGCCAAAAACAGGGATTGAAGAGCTCCATGGTTATCAATGGAGACCAGTGACCACTGGGACACACACTGGGAAGACTGGGAGACGGTGTATGTGTGTGTGAGAGATGTTAGCCCCCCCCTTGCCCCTCCCATTACAGAGTGTGTGTTGGACTGATAGGTAACGGTGTGTTGTTGGTTAGAGAGGATTAAGCACACACATGCGCACACGCACACACGGAGCCTTTCAGTGGGAATGAAAGCACACACTTCCCCACAGTTCACAGATGTAAACGCAAACACAACATTGAAAGGACATTGTGTGAACGCCGTGTGTCAGCTTCACTAAAATCTGGCCAATCCTGAAGGAGATCAGTGAGCGAACCTCAGCACAGTTTTTTAATGGTTTTTGTTATTTTTGACATTTCTTTATTTCTGCAGTTTAAATAACCACAAACCTGTTTCCTGTTTGCAATAAAGTAGTTTGATAACAGTTTGAGTTTTTTGTGGCTCTGGTGCTGTTACAGAAGAAAGTTAAGGGCTTCTCTCTGATTGGTTCACTCACACAGATCCAACAGGTGCGTCCACGTGACATCGTGAATGAAGCTGTTGTATGAACTGTACACATGGTTTTTGTGAATTTGATGAATCTTACCCAGAGTGACGGCAGGGACTTTATCGTTGACAGGAAGAACTGTGATGTTCAGATCATAAACAGGAAGTGTACCATGGAGAGGAACAGGAGGGGGCGGGGCTTCCCTGTGGCAGCAGCTGTCCGGCCCTCTGGCCTCACTGTCGGAGATGATGAGAGTGACCGTGTCGAACACCGGCTCAGGTCCGATCTCCCCGCCTTAAACAGAACAGCATGTCCACAACAAACGTTTCTAAAGAACTGCTTTCGTTTCATTTTATTTCATTTATGAATGCACTACGGGTTAGTTTCTGCTTTCAAACCTACTTCATAACCCATTCAAACTTTTTCCAGAGTTCAGCCAAGGCTGGTTCCCTTCCTGCGGAAGGAACACACATTTTTCCTACGTGCCGTGAACGCAGCCTGGCCTGCTCACCTGTGTGGGCATAGTAGATGTGACCCTGCAGGACGTCCTGCTGGGAGAACTTGTCCACAGTCACGCCGGCTCGCTGCAGCTCTCCCCTGCTCGGTCTCCGGGCAAGCATGTAGGTCAGCGCAGAGTCGTCGCTGTCCCGGTCGGTGGCCGACAGGTAGTCCACTGTCACCTGGACACGCCCCCCTTCCTCGCAGCTCAGCCCCCCTTGCAGACGGGCGCCCAGCTGAGGAGGCTCGTCGTTCATCGGCAGCACCTGAGGACGGGGGGGTGGGTTACATTTCGTTTTTATTATCCAGCTAAAAGTCCCGGCTGTGTTTGGTCTTTTTTACACACACAGTCATCGCTCTGGTTTTTCTCCGCATTTGAACTACAACCAGTGAAAACTCCTCACAGTTCACTGAAATAGGAAACTCTAGAAAGTAAACATACACCAACATTAATGTCAGTCACATCTGCTGACCCCTCCCACTCTGCTTGTTCCTCCTCTGCATTGCCCCCTGGTTTTGTGTGGACAGGACTCAGTGTTTACAGGTGTTAAGCAACACCTGTAAGCACTGAGCTGATTGCTATAAAAGGTGGTCATGCCCTAACACGCTGACCTCTTCTGATTTAGGTTGCTGTGTGTCACCTTGCTTTTATCCATACACTGTCCACTGAGACAGACTGTCGCTGGTTAAACACTCGGGTGTCTCTTTGTCTCCCTGTCTTAATCTGTGATTTTTTTAACTGAAGTTATCCCGTTTCGATTTCTGCTAGTGTCTAAGCATCCCCCCCACAGTAGCATCTGAACTTTTATAATCAGCTTCTTCTTCACTTGTTACATGTCAGTAGAAACCTTTGAGTGCTCAGCAGGTGACACCTTTATTCAGTAGATTCACCTGAACGTGCAGGACGACGTCCACCGAGTTCAGACCGTCCGACACCTTGAGACCAACGACATCCTCAGTGGTCTCAGAGTCATCGTGGATGTACCTGAAACACAGAGACGCCGTCACGCTGACCTGTGACCAGCTCCTCAGTCAAACATCGGTGACATCAGCAGCTTCTACAAACACTGATGATGTTTAGAGCCCAGATTTTCTGCTTTTTAAATGGAGACTACTGAACCTCTTGTGAACTTTCCAAAAGCGGTAAGCCAGGGGTAAAGGTCAAGCACAATACTGAGTCTAATTTAATCTGAATAATTACACAAAGTAAAACTCAATAAAAAGCTTGAATCTTAATAACTACAATAAAATCAAACATTGTCATAAAATAAACTGGCACAAAATAATTGCTGAATAAAAATGTTATTAAATGTACAAAAGAAAACGATGAGTCGACGAGTCAAAGTCACGTGTTGACAGAGTCTGCCTCTAATCATCACATTAACAAAGAAATTCTTAATATATAAAACATGAAGCCTGATGTGGGTTTCAGCTAAAACAAGAACCTGGCCTCCGAGTATAAATATAGTAAAATAGAAAGATTACAGCTGCTAATTACAGAAATACTCATAGTCACCTAAGGACAACTGGAAAAAAATGTTGGATGCCTTAAACATTCAAAAAAAGAAGAAACTTTCTGATTTTCGTGAACTTTAAGAACACAAACTGCTGGCTGGTGAGTGACCCGGGGTCCCTGAACACCACACGGTTACAGCCACCGGCTGGTTGGATTTTACGTGACTGGAGCTCTTTGCAGGGCGAGGTTTCAAAAGAACACGACAACAGCAAAAACAGCAGCATCACTCACAGGAACAAACTGCAGCGTTTCTATCTGACGTGTGTGCTGGAACAAGAAATCATACATCACCTACAAATGAATGTGAGACGAGCAAAAGCAACAAAACAGTTTTGCAAAACAGGAACAATAATTGGTTTATCTAAACGTTCAGTGGACGTTTAAAACAGAGGTGCAGGTGAAACACTTTAAAGGTGACCTACCTGCACACTCTGAGCTCGTTATTAGAAACATGTTTAATGTGAACGCCCACCACTCGAGCAGGAGGTACATGACAGGAAGTGAGGAGTAGAAAAGCTGGCAGTAAATCCGCTCCGTGCTTTCTGCTCTAAGAAACCAAGACTGACTGCAAACAGTCGACCACAGCGCGGTGAGCGGCTTCATGATCACCTGAAAACTTCGGAACCTCTGAAACCGAATCCTCTGAAATCAGAAAAACCCTCCGGCGTTACATCACCGGTGAATACACACCCATCTGCTGAAGCAGCGGATAAACCAGAGAGCTCTCAGAGTGATCGCTGAGCTCAGATCACCACGACACGTCCAGAACCACCTGACCCGGGTCTCACCTGACGCCTAGCCCTCTCAGTTCCTGCAGGGTAAACCCGCCTCCCTGCTGCAGCGCTCGGCCCCGCAGCTCCAGCCGGCCGTGACGAGCCATGCTCCGAATCTCCACCCTCAGCGCCTCCTCTCGACTGTCCCGGTCCCGGACCAGGAGGTGCTCCTCCGTCACGAAGGCCGCGCCGCCCTCCTCCACCCGCAGCAGGTTGGTGAAAGCCTGAGGAGCACAGAGAGATTCAGCACAACATCCACAGCACGGTCAAACCAGAGGCTCCGCCCGTTTGACCTCTGACCTCTGGCGCCTGGTCATCGACAGGGGTAACCGTGATGTTGAAGATGAGGCCGGAGACGGTGTCGCCGTGGTGATCGCTGACTGAGAAGATGAACTGGACGAAGAGCGACTCGGGCCCAATGTCCTCGACCGGCGGCATGAAGGCCACCTTCATGTGGTTCACAGCATGCTAGGAGAAAACAAGAAATTTACATCTTAACCTGCAAAAGCACGACCCATGCCAACCTCGCCAGCCACGCCATCCCCCCCCAGCAGCGACTCCTTCATATGTATTAGAACCAAGCAGGTGCTGCACACCTGAGTGAAGGACTTCAGCACGGGCGCTGTGTGGTCCTTCTTCATGGCGTTGGTGCTGTCGGTGTAGAACAGACGTCCTGCATCCATCAGGCTGAAAACGAATACAAACACGATAGTTAGTTTCTCAGTCACAGGGTCTGCTCTTCCTCCTCTGTCAGAGCTAAGCTGGCAGCCGGGTCCTTACCCAGGATGTAGCGGGCTGAAGCAGGGCTGTGTAATGACATAGGTGAGGTCAGCATCTGGGTGCTCTCGGTCTGTGAAGTGAAGGTGAGCCTGGGTGATGTAAACCACCTCCGTCTCCTTCACTGTCAGCGAGCGGACGCTGCCGGGAAATTCGACTGGCACCTGGTCCTCCACCGGGAACACGTGCACCACCACCGTCTGCACACAGGGAGGAAGAGGAAGGAAGAGGTGAGAGGAAGAGGAGGTCTCAAAGCGACATTCAGACTTGTCACTCTCTCAGACCAGAGCCGACTCACGTATGTCTGCGACAGGTTGGGCGGCTGGTGGCTGTCAGACAGTGTGAAGTCGAAGGCGTCCTCAAACTGCTCATCTCCCAAGTGCTGGTAGAAGATCTGACCCTGGATCAGGTCCCTCTGCAGGAAGCTGGCCACCGGTGACCCTGCAGGGAGAGCACAGAAGAGCTCAGAGACCAGCAGTGCAGGAACATGATGGTTTACAGCGGAGAGCTGCAGGACTGAGCCCTCTCACCCAGAAATCAGCATTTTCACCCCCTTGTAGATTATTTCTGAATGTGTTTGTGGTTCAGTGAGTAAAGCTGAGCGTCCCCCAGGAGCTCAGTGGTGTGACCCCTAGTCATGTGACTGTGGTGAACATTTACCTTTACCCTTCAAAACCATTAAATTCAACACAAATGGAGTATCACAAACATTTATTTACCACAGAGGTGATTCTGGTCATTGAGGTCAGTATCAGCTGATAATCAGCTGACCTATCAGAGTGAGTTTGGATTGGCTGATTCTTCTGGGTGGGAGAGTCCCAGCGTTAGACACGCCCACATTGCCTCTCTAATTATTACGTCTAAATACTCGCCCTCACCGGTCTCATGGGCGGATGCCCTCCTGACCAGGTGCCCGGCCCGGGGGACGGAGACTATCAGATAAAGGATGTAGTCGTCGCTGGAGTCGAGGTCGGAGGCCAGCAGCATGAATTCCTCGAGCCGCACGGCCCCACCCTCCTGCACCTCCACCGCCATGTTGTTGATGAGGAAGGGCGGAGAGTCATCCTTCGGGAGGATGTTGATGGGGAACTTGTGGCGGACGCTGTGACGACCGTCGCTGATGCGGAAGACGACGTGGTCGCGGGTGGAGTCGCTGTCGGAGTGGTGGTAGACGACTGTGCCCTCCTTCAGGTCCCGCACGCGGAACATAAACGCCTTCCCGCCTGGAAACACAACGCAAAAGTCACATGACTCAAAGAGAAAGATCTTTAATTCTTTTCCACTAAACAACAGTGAGTCCTCACTGTTCCCACAGCGTCAGACGTCCGTTTTCTAAAATAAAAAAGCCTCAAATCCTCACCTCTGAGAAGCCTGACAGATCAAAACACCTTCGATTTCAGTCAGCAGGTTCAGAGCGATGACAAGATTTCAGACATTAGACACTGAAAGGTCGGCGGCCTCCTTCCAGCCACTCAAAGCATCTGACTGGCAGCTAAAAGGATGTTTTTACCTGATCATAAATGATCTGTGATCCTCTCAAACTGGACCTTCAGTCTCACTGAGGAGAAACTTCAGTCAGTAACTTTATTCTTCACGCTCACTGCAGACTGTTGTCTGTCTGACTGGGGTCGAGTTCAGATCTTATATTTAACGAGACAAAAACTCATTTCTACATTTAAACAAAACTCTGACTGTGATGACGACTGTGTTAATCAGCTGGGGGCAGATTCACGACGACATCAGTCAAAAGAAAGACAGAAAATCATCTGCTGAAGGCTTCACCTCAGCGACAGCACAAACGCACCGAGGTCACTCGCCCTCTGTGCCTCTTCACGAACTACTGGCAGGATTTTTTTTAATGCTGAAAGAAGTTTTTGCAATACTGTTTGGACTGAATAAAGATGAAAGCACTCCCTCTTTAACCTGAGTTATAATTCAGAAAACTAAAACAGAACGATGCTGTAGACTCTGTTTTAAACACTGCACATATTTCTGACCCTTCACCATTTACTGTTACATTGCTATTATTTATTGTCTTCACAAGCGTCATCTTTTTAAAGAGTAAATAGCCTCCATAAAGACTGATTATTGATGGGTTTTTGGTTGTTTTTTTGATGGGATCTTCCCGCTGCAGCCAGGTTTCACAATAAATGTTCATGCTGACTTATAAACTGAAACAGATTGAATGTTTCCACGGAGTGACGCGTCAGGAGGGCATCGTGTCGTACTCGGGATGAACGTGTGGCGAGCGTCTGCTTCTGTCACAGAGCGGCGGGATGCTGTTTGTCTCTCGTCGAGCCGAACATGAAAAACTTCGGTGTCCTACATTAATGAAACGGCGGCCGCGTCCATCTGCCAGCTCTCTGCCGCTGGCTGGCCCTCCTCGCGCTCTACAAAATGCTGATGGCCCAGCGTCACGTGACCGTGGCCTACTGGAGGACACGTGTTGTCGGTGGCCGGTTTCCAGCCAAAGCTTCGCACTTTGATTCAATTACCGTCTCCAACACGTGCGCTGCCTTCCTCCCATTGTCACTTGGAAATAACAAGTTTGTGTTGGCGCCTGGAGGCACAGCGAGGCGCTGGCTCGGTCTGCGCTGCGAAAACCGGTGGGCTACAACATGGCGTCCTTCCCGGCGGCTGCCCGGCTGCCAGGACGGGGGCTTCCTGTCTCCTTGCGAGTGCCAGAGAGACAGAAGGGCAAGGTCAGCAGACAGATTGAGAGACGAGCGGTCGCAAGCCCGAACCTCATTAGCAACTTTACCGAGGGGAACCGGCTCGCGGTCCAAGTGATGGAAACAACTTGGTAATTGGGCCCAAAGGTGGCGTTGGGCAGCCGGCCCACGAAGGGAGAAACGCCACGCCTGTGTATATGTGTGTGTGAGAGTGTGTGTTTGTTAGGGACAGGCAGCCATCCATTTGGCTGAAGGCGTTGGAGCGAGCCCGTCCCCACGCTGCAGCCGCCACCCTCCAGTCGCAGCACCGAGGGTCAGCGGCGTCCTCAGAGACGCAGCTCCACCGCAGCTTCCTGCACGGACGCGGTGCCAAACTTCAGCCCAAACCGACGGGATGAAATGATACAGGAGCAGGTGCTGCAGGAGGAGGAGGAAGCTGCCTGGTGGGACCAAAGTTTCAACAAGCATTATTGTTGAAACTTATTTTGCTGCGTGTTAGAGACGTTCTTCCCTCTGCAGGTTTCTGCGCTTTGATAGAGGATGCAGACATGTCGACGAAGCAAGCACGAGTTCTCGCTGTTATGAAGTTTGTGGTTTGAAGCCTGACAGAGGCACAGTGAGCAGGTTTAACCCCTGCTCTTTTTCCAGCCTGCTGTGAAATCATCAGCCTGACCTCACTGTAGCTCTTCTGTGTGACCCCGATCTGTAAATCTGAGGAAACTGCTGCCCGATCTGAGTGTGAACACGTGGTAGGAGGCTCCCTCCGAGCAGAGGTCTGAACGTCACATGCTGGATGGAGAATCTTTGTGGATCATTTTCTGCATCAGCTTACACAACATGAGTTTTTGTCCCAAACACAGTGAAAGCTCCTCTGCTGAAAATTAAACAACCAATAAAAACAAAAACACACATCTCGATCAATAAAGTAAAAAGTAGGACAAAACCAAAATCTTAAAAAAGGTACAAACTTAGAGGAGCTGAAGAATAAATAAAAAAAATATATAAAAGTGGTTAATCATTTAAAATCTTCTCTCCTGTTCTTTTTGCGGCAGTGACATCCAATTCATTTCTGATTAAATGTGTTTATGTTAGTAATAATTCATTTATTGGAATTCATAAATTCATTATTTTTGTTTCCATGGTTTCATTTATTTCTGTGAACTTTGACAGCTGGGGCAAAAATGATGATGTAATTATACCAAATTATTTTTGCCTCCACCTTTTTTAATTCCTGTTTATGGATGTAAGTCAGTGGATACGGCAGCACGCTGATGAAAAATCATGTTCAGGAAATAAAAATGAAACTTTTTCAGGGACATGGAAAAAAAAAAAAAAAGAGCAGAAATGTTGTGACTTAATTTGAAAAGGTGGCGCGATGTCACAGCAGCTCAGGTGAGGACTGCAGCTTGAATCACTGATTAAACCTCACAAACGAGCGGAAGATGAGGCGAGCACAAAAGCAGCCATGAAAGGTTAACTCCCGCCCGCATGAAGCCCTCGGGGCGCCCGCCACCTCCTCCCCCTCTGAGCTGGTAGCATGAAAACCTGTTTGGGGACAGTGCATCTGCTCCCTGTGCACGCCGCCATGAAATGGCAGAAGTCGCTCCAATCTGCTCCGTCCCGATGCCGTTCAGACAAAGAGGCGACCTCGCCGAGCGGCGGGCTGGAAGGGACGGAAGTGGACGGAGAGGCGGGCAGCGGCGGCCCCTGGCGAAGTGGCCCTGGCCCCATTTTACACCTGATTAGGAAACACATGCAGGACCGTGAGACATATGCTTCCCCTGCCACACGGCGGTCCCTGATGGACGCGCAGCACATGGAGCTAAAAGGGCGGAAAAGGCCAGACGCCGGTTTGCAGAAGTCCCAGGCGACCGAGCAGCATACCAGCGAGGGAGTCGAGGACGGAGGGACAAGGCAAGGCGGCGTTGCCGAGGGGCTTCCCGAAACCCGTCGACGACATCTTCTATACTTTCTGTCTGTTCTGTGTTTATCGTTGGTCTTGATGATGATTTCTAACAGACGTAACATAAATACTCATGGATCATAATTTATATATAACAAGATTTAAACTCAAAATAGAGAAGATTAAAAAGTAAATTAAGCGCAAATACATAAATCATTAATTTTAAAATGGAACATAAATCCTTGAAACTTGATTAGTTTTTTAACACACTTTTTATTTGTGTATAAATAAATAAAAATATATAATTTTAATAAAAAATTATCATAATATATATATATATAATTAAAATTTTAAGGTGTTTAAAAAAATATTTTGTCACAGCCAGAGGTGGGTAGTAACTACTAATTATATTTATTCAGTTACATTTACTTGAGTGACTTTTTGGTTACTGTACTTTTTACTTTTGCTTGAGTAAAATTATTATTATAAAGTATCACTACTCTTACTTTTAATCGACTCAGTGTGAGTAACTTCAGTGAATGAATAACAAGCACGTTTTAACCAAAAATGCATGAGACACAGACACAAACTTGCAGTTTATGTCAAAGTGATTCTTGTTTATACAAAAGGTTTGTTGTTCTAATGTTATTCTGTCTGCTGAGCCTGTTGTGCCATTTAGAGATGAAGTAAAGTAACACCATATATTGTCACTGGAAGTACTTTACCCTTTTCTTACACACACACACACACACACACACACACACACACACACACACACACACACACACACACACACGTACGTTTTATATTGAAATAATATTAATTTGGAAAAGTGCTTAGATGTATTATTTTGTAATCATGTTATTTATATTTATTTATTTTTGTTTCAAATACCAAATTTTGGACTAAACTTTATACTTCTGTCTGTCTGATTATCTCATTTTCAAACATAAATCGGATGTTATGATCACGTACTCAGTACTCAAATAGGCTATATACTTTTTTACTCTTGAGTAATTTCTTGGACGGCTACTTTTTACTTTTACTTGAGTAAAACTATGTTGAGGGAGTGCTACTATTACTTGAGTACCATTTTTGGCTACTCAAGGATTAAAAACTAACATTAAAACGAGTTTTAATATTTTAATAAACGTAGCACCCGACCGTGTTTTCTTTCATCTGCTCAGACCTGATTGGTCAAAAGAACTCAGACTACACAGAAGCTTCAGGTACAAAAGTCTCACCTATAGATTCTATTTTGTGGCACATCAAAGTTTTGGTAGCAACTAAAACTGAAAAACTTGATTAGTCTGAAAGAAAAGAAAGAAAACTGAGGAGAAGATTTTTCTTCACTTTGACTGTTTGATGTTCGATAGAGCATTTACCACCTTAAACCCAACCCCGCCGACCTTTGACCCCTACCTCTGACACTGAGCCGCCCGTGCACGGGTCCGTCCACGGCCACCAGGTAAACGGCATCAATGTTGTCGCTGTCGACTATCTGCAGCTGCTCCCAGGTGATTGGTCGGGACTGACCCTCCAACAGGTCTAGACCTGAGATGGCACACGTGTTCACATGTTACCTCAACGAGTAAAACGCCGTGAGACATTTTTCACGCCACAGAGATGGACGCGAACGTACCCACGTTCCAGGAGACTCTCGGAGCATTCGTTTCCGATGTCCTGATGGAGACGTGGACCACGATGGGTGGGCTGGTCAGATAGGAGCCGTCTATCACCTGAAACTCCACCTAAGCATATAAAAAGGGAACGCAATGACAGGAAATTACATTATTAAGCGTGTAAAACAAGCGTGTGAAACTTCACACAGTGCATTCTGGGTACACTTTCAGGGCTCATATCAGCCTGTGGGACAGGTGAGAGAAAAAGAAAGGTCTTCTTTTCACCTACATTTGACACCAGGATCATCTTCTAGTTGCGATTCCTTCTGGGTCAAAATAATTTTGTAATATATATTTCTTTAGCCGTTCCAGCCCAAGCAGGCCAGCAGTGACTTTGACCCTGTGTGATTGTATCTCACTCTCTCTCCTGCTGCTGTTTTTTGTACAGCTGACTTGAAGGTGAAGCGTCTCCTAAACCTCCATGTCTCCTTTTTTTGACATAGACATTTTTGAAGGGAACAGAACACGAACACTCAGATCTGGAGCCCCGACTCAGACCCTCTGAAACATCGGTGTGGGTGGGTTAGCTATAGTTAGCTTTGGTGTGCTGTTATGCTGTAGAAGTTGAAGCAGCATTAGCAGCTACAACGTTAGGTTTGATTCCTAGAATAAAAGCTCAGATATCGGCCACACTGCCCTGAAAAAAAGCTGTTTTCTCCAAAATTCCCAATGTTGGTGCTTCTAACATTCCAACTTTTCTACAGAAACTGGAAGAACCTTTGGAGCCATGTCGCGTCTTCAGTACCTCATAGTTCCTGCGGCGCCCCCGGCTGCTGTTGGATGGCTGGTAGGCCACTTTCATCTCGTGAAGGTCCAGCCATGTGAAGGACCGGATGGGCTTGGTGTGGTCGTCCAGGTGTGTGATGTAGCCCTCGGCGGGTGGGACGGTCACGTTGAAGACCAGCTTCTCCTGCGGAGTCTCGTGGTCCTTGGCGTCCAGCGTGGCAGTGGTGAGCGGGGTGAGGATGAACTGGTCCACCTCCAGGATGAAAGAGGCCATGAAGGTAGCCTGCGGGGGCTGGTTCTGCATGGCCCCGTGGATCAAAACCGGCAGCCACACGGCCTGTGACTGTGGGAGGAGGAGGACAGGTAAAGTTTAACACACCACGCAGAGATCAACACATGGCGCCACAACTTCTGCTGTTACACTCGTAAGAGGTGTTATGCCACCGCTCACGTGCTAACGATGAGACAGAAATGCTTTAAAGGAATGCTGGAGGCTTCGAAACCTCCGCCTGCACATCCGTCCTCATCGCCGAGCTGAGAAGGCGGGATGTCACCTTCTCACTGCCAACATCTCACCTGCAAACAGCAGAATCTGCACTTTACAAACTTTCTTCCTTTAAAGCAAGTCTGAGCCTCATTTCTAATCTCTTTGTTTCCACGCTGCTGTCTGAGCTGTGAGCTCATCGGTCTTTCCTGTACCTCCAGCAGTGCTCTGCTCGCCTGCTCTCTCAGCTCCACCCTGACGGGGACGTAGTCGATCTCCGGGGACGGCGGGCTGAGGTGCTGGTACTTGAGGCCAGAGCTCAGGAATTCATGGCAGCTGGTTTTGAGGAAGCGGACCTCGGTGGTGTCGTGAAGACACGGACTGTTTCCCGGGCAGAACGTCGCCTGTCGACCTATCAGAGAGGAGAGCCGAGGGTTTTAGACCAGTCGGTGAGTGGAAAACACCAGGCGCACACAAACAGATAAACCACAAGCAGCCTGCATTTCAGTTTATATTTATACTAATGTGTATTTTATATTTAAGCATTTCTCTCAGTTATCTTTAAGCTTTGATATTTTTTATAGTTTTTGCTTTATTTGTGCTCAACATTGTAAATAAAGTTTAATGTATTCAACTTAAAAGGTTAAATTACATTTTATAAACTGTGATGACCAGTGTTGGGTAAGTTACTTTAAAATAGCAACTTAGTTACATTACTAGTTACTTCTCTCAAAAGTAACTCAGTTACTTCAAGTTACTCGTTACTTTCAAAGTAACTAGTTACTAGGGAAAGTAACTTTGGTTTTACTCAGAATTCTCTTGTTAATGTGTTGCTTCCATAACTTTGCCAGTCTTCTAGCTTGCTTACTTGCCACAAGTGCACTGTGCCACCTACCAATAGAAAGGAAAAGATAATGTGCATATTTCCACGAGAGAAATCCCACGCCTGGACCGTCATTGACTGCTGCCATGATTCTAGCCTACGTCACAGCGTCATGTGCGCCTTTTACATCCAACACAAAAACTGCAGTCGTGGTGCTTTCGATTGTACTCAGAACTCAGAAATTCTGCCTTCTGAATAGGAAGATGTAGGTAACACCAGACTGCAGATGAGCTGCATACAGGGCTGGACTGGGACAAAAATCGCCCGGGCATTTTGACTAGAGACCGGCCCACCATTATAGGAAAAATCATAAAGCCTTTGAATGAAAACAAAACCTGTTACATGTTGTGACAGTGATGTACACTGTTTTGATGGTATATATGCATCAATCTATCAATCGTTTGTTGTAAGATTCAGATAATTATTTTTTAAAAGCTAGACATTTTAAATGAGAATAAGAAAGAAAAGTATTTCTTTGTGCCCCCCTTTCCCTGTTAATGCCCTACATGCCCCCCTGGCAACACTTTGCTAGATCCGCACCTGCACAGTTACCAGCTGTCAGCTACCTAAAAAAGGATCCTGGGGTTATTTGTCTCTCAGAAACAGTTCATAACTTCCCTTCAACTCATTCATGTCACCTAAAAGGTAAACCTGTTTCTCCATCACCTGTTCAGCTCTGATGATTCAGTAAGGACATCTCCTGGTTTCATCTTCATGTTTCCCTCTCACCAGATAACCAAACCATATCATGACCAGCAGCTTTTTTGCAGCTGTGGCTCCAGCAAACATCAGCTGATACTAGAAATTAATATTAAATAAATTCTAACAACAGCTGATCAAGCTTAAACGTGCTGCTGTTGTTTAGCGCGACATCCGCTGGTTTCCTCTTTCGGCGCAAAGTGAGCGATAAACAAACAAGAGAGCCGATCAGCTGATCATTGATCAGTTTCATGATTGAAGTAGAAACGGGAGAGGGAGGGGGGAGAATGAGAGAAGAAGAGGCAGCTGTGCAGCAAAGACACAGAATAACTCCAGCTTTGTGTCTTTTTCATTGTAGCTGAATTACGGGACAAACTGTTCCTTTTCACCTCAATAAGAAACGCGTAATATTTTCTCTGAATACCAGACGGGACGGTTGGCAACTCTAATAACTTATGAACAAAATAAAGTTCAACATCATTAACTTCATAGCACCACCCAGCTGTATAGAAACTCCGTCATGCTAGCTAGCACGCAGTACGGAAAAAGTCAGAATAACGAAAATAAACTCCACCTAAACTTGGTTCATATCTGACCCAGAGAGACTGCAGGTCATAACTTCTTACCTGAAGTTCAGTTCACACTTGGACCGGCGGCCGCCTCGGGTCTCTTTTCCTTCATCCACCTGCTGGCCTCCACCACTTGCTAATGTTACTGAATCTGTGGAAGCTCCGCGATAGCCACCACACGAAGTAACGAGTAACGACCCTATCTAAATCCCAGTAACGAGTAACGCGTTCCTGATTTTGGCATAATAACTAGTTACCGTGCTCGTTACCACAATAATAACGTAGTTACTGTAACGCGTTACTTAATAACGCGTTAGTCCCAACACTGGTGATGACACAATGAAACAAAGCAAATTAAAAACATCTTATGAGTTTGGTACCCTTCCTCTGCGTGGAGTCTTCCTCCCTCACCAGCCGACCCGCAGCGGGGACGCTGGTGTCTGTGGTCAACAGCCTGACGGTGCAGACAAGGTCAGGCGCGGCCCTGATATTCAGCACCGAGCCGTTGATGGCGTTGGATAAACCGTAGAACTGGGGAACGACCAGCGGAGCGCTGCCGAGTGCCACCACGCCCGCACCCGAGTCCACCACCCGGACCCTCAGGATCACCGTCTCCACCTGCGTGTCCGAGGACGTGAACCTCCACACAGACACCACATGTCATGTTAAACAGAGCTCCACACTGGCCCACGAGGTCATCACATGTACATCCAAGTTTGAATTAATGTTTAAGCCACGTCTGTAAACATACCCTAAATCTAACCTGCAGAAATTGTTTTTCTCATTATTCTAAAATCAATGGCAACCTTCAGGAAGCCTGCTGAGGGGCAGCGAGTGTTGAGCGGGGTCGGGGCCGTTTTCATTGGGCTCAGAGGGGTTGTTGCTACTGTTTGCAGGATCAGCTAACCGACCATGTCTGTGCCTCCAGGACTGGACTAGCACCTGAAATCTTATCTGCTGTGTGTCCCAGATGGGCCTCAAACTTTCCACCTAGGAGAGTCCAGGAATGTCCGATCACAGGTTGAAACTCCCTGCCTTCAGTGTTTCTACTCTTACCTCCTCACCTCAGCCCTCAGAGGAGTCATGTCTGCTGCTTGGATCCTCCATCTCATTCTTTCGGTCATCACCCACCAATCCTGCTCCACCGTCCTCTCACTGAACAAGCCCCTAACACCCTGACCCCCCCCCCCAGCACTGCAGCCATTTCCAGCTGACCCTCATGGGTCAGAGCACCTCAGGTTAAAAGACATGTTAGAAGACATGTTGCAGACCTGTGGATGCTGCTGACTGACCTGTAGACTCTGAGCATCACCAGGTCCTCGTCCAGTAGAGGGCTGCCGTCGTGGACATACTTCACCTCGTCCTCCAGGAAGCTGCAGTCAAACACCTGCAGAGTGCACAGAGCAGAGCGCCTGTAACTCCTCTGAGCGGCTGCCATACGGCACCAACCTGTTCCACCCTCACCTGTGGGCTCAGCCTCCCGACCCTCTGAGTCACGGGCTCGTTCATCACCACCTCCACCTTACAGTCGGCGCTCGGGTCCACGCTGATCTGAAGCTCCGCCCTCGTGATGAAAACCGAGCGCCCTCTGCTGACCTCCACGGCAGAGTTCACCACAACCAGAGTCCGAGGGCAAACGCCCGTCACCGCGAGCAGCAGCAGGGACACGAGGACGGCAGCCATGCTGTGGGCGGGGTCACCGGTTTCAGTAGTTCAGGTGAAGCAACGCTGAGGGAGAATAAATCTGTCCGAGGTTTCAGAGGTTCCCGCTCACATCGTCCTCAACTCCTCGTCTTTGGGCTGAAGGAGGAAAACAGGAAAACCTCATATTGTATTTCAGCGTCACTTGACTGATTTCACACACACACACACGAGACGTCAATATAAATATATATATGAAATCCGAATGGAAACAAACTGAATAATATCAGAATTATTGTCTGACGTCAAACAGACAGAAGATTCAACACTGTGGTGTTTGCAAGTCTGCAGCTTCCTCCCACAGTCCAAACACATGCAGTTAGTGGGGTTAGGTGACTCTAAACTGCCCAAATGTGCTCCAAATGTGAGTGTGACGAGTTGTCTCTCGGTGTTAACCCTGCAACAGGCTGATGACCTGTCCAGGTGTACCCCGCCTCTCGCCCTACGGTAGCTTGGATAAACTCCAGCCCTCCCACAACCCTGATAAGGACAAGAGGAAGAGGATGGACAAAGATGTTATTCTATTTTATAGGCTTTTATACACTTACTGCAGTTTAACTGTTCAAAAAGCTCATGTTAAATTTACTGTATTAGTCATTTGTACACACTCATTTCCAGACCCTAAAAACAAAATAATGGATGATGGAACAGAGCAAATCATATTTTAGAACTGGTTGACTAATGCTAACATTGGACCATTTACAGAGGAAATCATATGAACCATATCCAATAAGAGAGCACGGAGCCAGACACTGTGCAGGAGCACTGCCTGATACTGTAATGGGCTCATTTACAGTTTACACTGTAAACTCCGTCAGTCTTAAATAACTGCAGCTGTCATGCAAATGAGCTGTCAAAGTGTCTTCATCTGACACAACATGCCACAGAAGCACCGACAACATGTCAGCCGACCCCGAGCTTATTTCAGGCAGGTATAAATACAGGTGTGCATTTACATTTTGGTTTGCCCTTCAGTGTGCTGTGGGTGTGCTTTGAACACCACCTGTCTATGAAACCGAAGACTCCAGCCTCTCCTGCAGGAAATACTGCACACAAAGAAGCAGGGAGCTGCTGCAGAACAACAGAGTCTTTCTTCTGTTGTGGTTTTCTTTGTGTGTCCTCCACAGGTCAGTTTTCTGCATGAAAACGGCTCAACACAGATCAAACTAAAGCAGATTTAATAATGTCTGACTCCAACAGAGACAGATGTAATCCTGACTCTGACCTCTTCCAACACAAACACTGAACCCAGCAGACCAGAATACTTACAGCAGATACTCCAGAGCAGCTCCAACCCTCCTCCACTGTTCCCTCTGAATCCCTGCAACTGCCCCTCTGCCACATGAAAAGTCCTCTAAATCCTTCAGACAAAAACAAAAAAACACTCCCAGCATGCAGCTGGCCAGCCCAGCTTCTTCCCCCACTGCCCCACACTCCCAGCCGGAAACTGCTTCACCCTCCATTTCACTCCCAACCAAAACTGTCTGCAGGAAACGACAGGTTAATCTGCATGACCCCGCAGAGGTGCTGGACGGGCCGGGGGAGGGGGAGAAGGAAGGAGGAGGTGATGGGGTGTTTTCAGGATCAAAGCAGAGAGCTGGCGTGCCGCTTCCCATCCAGCCAGATGAGCGTGGGGTTCATTAGTTTGAGGTTGGAAGGAAACAGAAGCTACAACGAACTGCAGTCCCTGTGACGTCCAGCAGATCAGCAGTGAGTCAGTCCCCATAGACTCCCATGTAATACATTAGAGCAGAAACAAACACGTTTAACAGCCTGTTTTTATAAATTACCTGTTTAAATTGTACTAAGGCTTAAATTAGGATTATTAGAGGCGTGGCCTCTTTGACTGACAGGTGGATGTGGACACAGGTGGCTGTACCTGCGAGCTGTCTGCTAGGCTTCACCTGAGCTGGACCTCTGGGCCGTGTTTGTTCTGTTTGAGCCTTTTAGAGCATTTTTAATGTCAATGAGATTTTTTAACTGGATATATGATAAAGGATGCATAAAAGTCACTGCCAAAAACTGATTGCAGCTTCTACCTTGTGACAGGAATGTGGTTCAAGATGACTGGATATCATTCATGAGGAATCCATTTGACATGTTTCATATAATATAGACCAACAAGTTATTTATGACAGTTCAAACAAATTTAAATAACGCTAATCACTTTTTGGCACGACACCGGTCAGCAGTCTACACACGGCTCATCGGTACTTGACCCAATTGACCCAAATCACGCTGCCGCAGATGGACGGATGGATCCTCTCAGACGCTGTCTGGCTGACGTTCGAACAGTTCAACCCTCATCCTCCATCTTGTCTGAGCTGACGTGTTTAGATTTGCCCGAATCCCATTCTCAGAGACACCTGGACGTTAAACTGTACTGGACGGGGTGTATCTCTCTTACTTTAGTTAACAGTTGCTTATTTGGAATGTTAAGCCTGCATAAATGAAAAATTACTGGTCAAAATCATGTTTAATCGCAGTCCTGGTGATTTTCATCAACACCTCTTTGGTGGGCACCAGAATTTTAGAAAAAAACCCAAACGCTTGATAGGCGGCACCATTCACAGAAATCAGTAATGACTAAAAAGTAGACGTACAGAGACTTACATGTTTTGTAAGGATGCCGGGTTTTTACATAGAAGGACACAAAGGTACTGTCACTTCCTGCCACCAGCTCAGCTTCGCCAACAAAACGTGTCATCACTTATAGGCATTAAAGAGCTGAACTAAGTCGCGCTTCAGGTGAATGTCTGTCTGCATCGCTGCTTCCTGCTGCACCAACACAGCTGACAAAGTTTCATCCTGAGCCTGCAAAGCCCAATGACTCGCTGTGTGAGGTTTTTCTTTTTTTAAAGGAAGAGGAAGCCAAAAGGAGAAAAGGGTGAGAGAATAACGAAGGAAAATCCTTTAATCTGCATGAGCCGGTTGGAGATGAGGGAGCTAGCACCTACCTGCAGCTGCAGGAGCTCCATACTTGTCTTCTTCACCTTCTGCACACGCTCACAGGAATGCTGTGACACAAACAACACAAACATCCACCGCGCGCCGTCAGTCACCCTGACACATCTGGCATCTGAGGGGAACAGAGGGGGAAAACTGAGATAAGGAAAACAAGGCGAGCACAGACGTTCTACAGCCAGAGAGAGAGAGCAGACAGGAAGTGTGCTGAGAAGTTTCCAGGACTTTTAGTTTTACTGCCCCCGTCTGTTTATCCCCTCTGTGTGCCTGACTCAGCTCCACCTTCTGCTCTCAGTCCTGAACCACATCAGAGCCCTGAGTCCCAAACACGCCTCTGATCCTCATCAGGAATACCAAACATTTCACTCACAGATCTGAGTCCACAGACTGAACTGTATCTGTTATCTGTACACTTCAGTGTAAACGTTTTAAATGGTAAATTGAACCTTCTGGCAGGACGAGTGAAACCAGGGTGAAACGAGCAGCAAAGCTCCACAAAGTTCAGACAATAAACTCCCAAAAGCAGCGAGAAGGTTTCTGGTTTCTCCAACAAACCCATGAAGACTTAAGATGATTTCAAATATATGAGGCCAACTTTCTTCTGATTGGCTGCCCATTAAAAACCGCAGGTGGGTGGGTCTTGTATCCCTTCTGTGACATCCCACAATTTAACTAGTAGAAGAAGAAAAAAAAACTGTGTGAAGTCTAAACTTTCAGAGAATAAAGAAAAAGGTAGAACCTTAAGTTCCCACAGCAACTTAAACTGTTATTGTTAATATCATTGAAGCTCCTTAAATATAAATTAGACCTGTGAGGATCTTTCTGGTTCACGTGGCTCTTGCTTCATATGAAGTAGGAAGACTCAGATAACGATCAAGTCAGAGCTGTGTGAACGTCATTTGATTTCAGTGTGAGGCTTTTAAGACCACCAGCAGATCCAGCTGTGAATCATCGCTGACGGCGTGTTTAATCAGAGGAACCCTGCTAACAGCTCTTTCTCCATCACAGCTGCAGCTCAGCTAAGCACAAACACTGGAAGTGAAGGGAAACCGTTAGCATAAAGACAGAAAGGCATCTTTCGAGAACTCGTGTTTGCGTCTTTTTAAAACTAAGCTGGTATAAACAAACTTTGCCACAGAGCCGCTGATGGCCTCACAGCTCTGTTATCCTCGTTAACTCCCAGGTTACCCTGATCGCTGCTCTCTGATGGCTTCTGCAGCTGCAAGAGGAGAAAATCTGCCTTAATGGAAGAACCAGCAGCAGAAGATCAGCTGACTCAGCAGAAACAGTTTCACTCAGGCGGTAAACTCTTACCGTGCAGCTGCTCACAGCCAGCAGTGCTGCCTGTAACATTCAGTCTGAGCTCAGCTGAGAGTCTCCCTCCATTCCAGCATTACTGAACCCAAAGCAACAAACTGGAGGCAAGAGTCAAACACCATCACAGTGTGTGTCTGTGTCGTGTGTTTCTGAGTCTTTATCTGTGTGTTTTTCTACATGAACAAATCTCATTAAACGCATCTCTGCCAAACAGAAGCTTTCCTGCAGGTTTTCAGGTTTCATTATGACTTCGCTGTCTCTGGCTCCTCCCACCACAGCTGCAGTAAACAAACGCTGAGTATTCCGGCCTTCCATCTTTACCACCATAACAAGTCCATTCGTCTGACATCCTCTCAAACTGTCCTCGGTCTCTGTTGTGCAGATGTGATTGGTTCCTACATTTCCCCGTTCAGCAGCTGATTGGGTGTTTGGTGGCAGCGAACGAGAACATGTCTCGCCATTTTTGCCGTTACCAGACTACAGGTTTCTGTTAGGGATTCTCTTGGCGTCTCAGCCTCCCTGATAACATTTCTGCTGCAGAAAAAGTCTTTTTCATCAGCTAATTAACATTTTGATGATTTTGGAAATCTTCTAAACTCCATGCAGCGATCAGCATCTTTCCTGGGACACTGACTCAGGGAGGAGTTCAGCATGTTCTTGCTCATAAGGAATATCATGTCGGCTCAGGTCTAGTTTAAAATGTAAGAAATTTAACATGAACACCATGACTACATGAAGATGGCGGACTGAACGTACAAACTGTTTGGAAACTGAGGAGCTGTGAAGAATCATGAAATGGTTTACGGGGTCAGAAGGAGCGTTGACAAGGTCGTGTCCTCCCCATTCCTGTTCGGGTCTCCGTCTGAAGCTCGTCCCAACAGCATTTAAACACCTGTTGGTAAGCAGCAGTGGCTCGGCTGGAGGAGGGAAACCGTCCCAGAGGGAGGAAACAGACCTGCTGTGGGTTTTTTACTTCAGTGGGATGAGCTGATGACTCTGTCACAGCTGACTGGACGAGGTCAGAGAGTCGAGGTCAGTCTTCATCAGGCACGAACGTGTGGGGCGGCAGTGAGTTCGGCCTCTGATTGGTTGGAACAGAGGTGAGTCATGCAGAGTCCAAAAGCTGACAAGAGTCAAGTCAAGTGGCTTTACTGTCATTCCAACCATGTGCAGTGGTACAGTACACGGTGAAGCGAGACAGCGTTCCTTCAAGACCATGGTGCTACATATAAACAGTAGGGGTGCAACGATACACAAAATTCACGGTTCGGTTCGATACTTTGGTGTCACGGTTCGATATTTTTTTGATACAAAAAAAATGTTCATGCCTTTTCAATTTGTCATTAAAATTATAAATATATATTTTAACTCAAAAGTACAGTTTTTAAATGTAATGTTGCTGAAACAAAAAATAAATAAATAAATCTATCTGATCGAGAAATCACTCATCTTTGGAAAAGAGAGTTTATTACAGAGAAATGGCTCTTTCCAAAATAAAAGCTATACTATACGCTTCTTCTGGGCTATATTCTCAGCAGCATATTAAACATATCAGGTCCCCATAAGGAGAATCATGTGCTTGTTGTTTTTGTCTGCTTCCACTTGTCTTTGCACTAGGATGATGTCAGTGTAAATGTGCAGTGATATTCGTTGTGTTCCCACTAGTGCAGTCAGCGTTAATCTCGTTAAAATGACATTAATGCCATAAAGCAGCAAATCTCCGTTAACGAGTTACCGCGGATCGCCCCGTGCGTGGGGATGGACGGTGTCAACACGTTAACAAGCTAACTGCGCTAACGCACTAGTTCCAACATTGCGTGCATTGCGTGGCACATCCAACATACTGTTTTACTTTTGTCCATGACAAGCTTACCATCAGGGTCATGCTTCACATAGAAACCGAGATAGTTCTTCTTCTTCTTTGTGTTTAACGGCGGTTGGCAACCAACGTAAAGGAGCATTACCGCCTCCTACTGTTCCGGAGTATGGGTCAGACAGTGAGTTCACAAGCTGTATCAAAAACAAACAAACCCTACACTCTTTCATAAACACCTATAGCCTTCAGAAACCCCACCAGTTCCCTCAACCAAGATAGTTCCAAACGCCAGATCTGAATGAGGGTGGGGGAGGTTCAATTTCGAGCTTAGCTTCTGTCTTGCTAGCTTGCGCTGCGCTCAGTGGATCTGCACTCGACAGTGCAGCCTAGCAGTGTTGCCAACTCCTCAGTAAGGAAAATCGCTATTGGCTGTCCTAAAAGTCGCTAGAAGTCGCTAAATGACGTCATCACCTAATTTGCATAATTGGTCATGCTAATATAATTGTAACCTACGCTGTTGGAGAGAGAAATAACATCGTGGAAGAGACATAAAGTGAGCAAAAAACGTCCTAAATGCATTTAGAATTTATTTAGAACTACAAATTAAATTTCTTTTAGCAATTATTGTTTTTTAATGTCACAATTCCAACCCTTCTCCTTTATCCGGGCTTCGACCGGCAAAAGTGACCCGAAATAGGCACTCTGGTGGAGTTACTTTGTGTGTGTGTGTGTGTTTATAAGTAGTTTTAAACCTTGTGATCCACATAACAGTAAAAGAAGAACTGACTGCATTACAGTCAGTGTGGGAGCAGCGGCTTCGCTCATACGCGATTCATTTGCAGTTTGGACGCATAGAGGGAACATCTCCTGCAGCTGGGGGAGGACTCTCCTCCGCCCGTGAGTGCTTTAGCACGGGTTTTGAGAGTAAGAGCAACATGCTCTTTCACGTCAAAAAGTCGTCATAAATAAGTCTCCAATAACACCAGAAAAAGTCGCCAGATTTGTCGCTAGTCGCTTTTTAGAAAAAAAAAAAAAAAGCAGAACGCAATGCGTAATCTAGGAAGAATACTACAAATAAATTAAGTTATAAATAATACAAAATAAATAAATTATTATCGCTAAGGGGCCTGAAAACGCGCTAAATATAGCGACAAAGTAGCTAAGTTGGCAACACTGCAGCCTAGGCGGAGTAGTCGAACGCAGATACACTGAGCGCTCAACACAGACAGCATCATCAGAAGAAAAGTTGATAAAATAAATAAATAAAAAAGTTTGTATTGTTCGATACATATGGTACCGAACCGAAAGCACTGTATCCAACGGTTCAATATCGATACAAGTATTGTTGCACCCCTAATAAACAGACAATCAATACAGGACTACATACTGTGCAAGTGTGAAAAAATTGCAACAAAACAAAGACAGAACAGAACGATACAGGCAGAACAGTGCAATAGAAATGTGCAACAATGACAGTGGGTTGTGCAAAAAGTAACGTGATGTATGAATCTGTGTGTGTGTGAGAGAGAGAGAGATTGTGCATATAAGTGCTTGGTAGGTCTGTTAAAAAAATGGATCCAGTGATCAGAAGCTAATGTAAATGTGGAACTAAACAGGAAATGGAAGTAAATGCAAAAAAATCAAATACACTTGATTAAGTAATACATGTAAATGCAGAACTTAATACAAACCAACCATCCAATAAAACTGCAAAAATGTATGTATAAAAACTGTGGAAAGGTTCAGATTAGGCTGTTCCTGACTCTCGGGTAGTTATGGCCAACATGTTTGGACCCCCGTACCTGAGTGAGGCGCTGTTGTGCATTTTTCCAGAGTTCAGAATAGAAACGT